TCTTGGGTGGGTTCTTCATAAACATGATCATTTCCGATTTGATCATGTTCATGATGATCATTATACGGTACTGAACCATGAAATGCATCATTAACAATCTCAACATATACATTATGCCCATCAAAACCTACTGGTTCACAACTATTCCCCTCTCCATGATCAAAATCCATTGGTTCATGACTAGTATTATCTGGATTATCAGCGTAAAGACCACTATTTCCCTCCCCATCAACATCATAATCTTCTTCATGTTCATACCAGACATAATACTTCGCCATAAATCCTCAACTTAGCAAATGACTCGATATTGTGTTAGGTTTCAACAATTTTGAATTCGCACATACAATACAAGGACAGTAACACCTACCTCTTCAATTTTGTGCATTGCTACTCACAAACTCGATGAACTGTTCCACACCCGTCGAAAGATGATTACTTCCAGGATCGATCCGGTTGTACATCCATTCTTGTGAACGATAACTCCACATCGCTTTCTCTAACTTTTTCCCTCCTTTTTTTTTCTTCTCTCCTCACTTTTCTTTTTTCCCCTTCTCTCTCTTCTTTTCTTCCTTCTCTCTCTCTCTCTTATTTTCTTACTCACTTCGAGTTTGGATACCGAAGAAGTGAAGAAGCGTTTGTTTATATAGGGTATTTTTTGTGACGCTTTTATAACTCTTCTCAAAAGAGTCGAGACTTGTTTAACAGGAAACATTCATGACTACGATTAGTGAGTAAGAGAAATTTTGGAGTAAGGAAAGCAAAATGGAGAATCTTAGATCGTAAGCATCCTAAGTATGGTTTGACTAAGTGGATCAAGATTTTGACGGCGATCATGGCACTACACAACTTCATACGTGAATCACATCGAGAGGATTATGATTTTATACGTTGGCAAAGAACGAAAGATTATCATATTCATGGTGATGAAGAAGAAGATAACAGTGATAATGATGATGATGATGATGATAGTGGTGGTGGTGGTGGTGGATACACTCCATATGAACGTACAGGAAACAAAGCAGTTGAAGGGATACCTGATACTATCACAGATCTGGATATTAATGATTGTGGTAAAGGGATATAAAGGGAAGATATTTGCAAGCAAATAGGAGTATCAAATTGGTATAATTATATATGATATACAAAATGTGTTCCATTTCACTCTGCCTAAAAAAAAAAGGTCCTTTCTGGTATAATGTTCAGGGGAGAGTTGTGATTGGAGGATTCTAGCTTGTGATATGAAGGGGTCTGGATACTATGAGATCAGGAAAGCTTATTTGGAACATAAATGCCCCATTGATACCAGAAACAATTACTTGAAAAAAACAACATCTAAGGTGATTGCAACTGTGTACAAATCGAAGTAAAGTGACCCACCCAAAGGACCAACCCCTATGGATCTGCAGGAGATAGTACTTGAGGATCTTAGAGTGTCAGCATTGTACAAAAATGTTGGAAAGCAAAGTTATAAGCTGATGAGGATGTATTTGGGCCTGAGGATGAGTCTTACGATGATCTAGGTGAATACTTGTTTACTCAAACTGATAAGGAAATAATCGAACAATCTGAACACGAATTAACGATAGATTGAGGAGTACAAATAAAGAGGTAGAGAAACATGAAGTAACGAAGATGACGGTGTACCTGAGATCGTACTCTGGAAAACTCATGAGGAGAAGGAAGATACGGAGAAGCCGAAGGATCTACAGGGAAATTTTTTTTAATTTTTAAAGAAACGACAGAGAAACCTTCAACTTTAAGAGAGAGAGTTGAAAGAGTGTGAGGGAAAGAGGATGAACAGACTCAAGCGAGAGAGAATAAAAGCTCGCAGGCAGCACTTCCGGCCTGTCATTACTCAAGCTGTCGTGTGCCTTATTCGGGACATGTGTAGTCCATCCGGCCAACATGGCATATGCAGGAAAATCGCTAATAGTCCACATAATGGCCGCTTTAAGGTTGAAGTTTTGATCTAATGACACATCATATGCCTCAACTCCGTTATCACATAAGTCTTTTAACTC